ACGGAACTTGCACAAGGCCAACTTCAGATCAGCGAGTCTAAAATAAGTGGACTGAGATTTGAGCATCTGCTAAAGGGAGAGTTGGCAATTTGAGCCTGACCAAGTTAACTACCTGTCAGACAAGGAAATCAATACTCTTCAGGGAAACCTAACATGATCAAGTCTCCAACTCACAGTAAACAGGACCCAATTCAAAGTCACTAGAAACCTAACATGGTCAAGAGTCTCCAACCCACAGTAAACAGGACCCAATTCAAAGTCACTAGAAATAAAAAGAATCACAAAGACATAACCCATCCTCACAATACAAGAATCAGCAGATGGGACCTTAACGCAGTGATTCTAATTATTGCTAAAGGATATAAAGAAAAATATCCTTGTAGTGAATGAACAAATATAAAGTCTTAGCTAAGAACTAAAAATGTTTAACTGAAACAAATTCTAGAAATGAAAATAATTCTCAAACTAAAAACCTGTTGCACGGGGACGAACAAGAGAGTAGAGAGGCAGACAGTGAACATTTAGGACACAGCAGACGCCATTCAACCTGAAGAACAGAGCGGGGACCAGGTTAGAAAGCCATGAGCAAATCCGGGACCTCCAGCAAAAGGTCTACATGTGTGGAACCGGGGTCCCAAAGCAGAGCAGAAACAGTAAAGCAGCAAAATAATTGAAGAAATAATGCCCGCAAATTCCCCACATTTGGTAAAAGACATAAATATTCAAGTTCAAGAAGTCAGAAAACCACACCCGAGATAATCACCGTCAAAATGTCAAAAACCTAAAATAAAGGCAAAATCTAGGAAGCGGACAGGGGAACAACTATCTGAGATCGTGCTGATCGGAACAGAATGGAGGCTGTCACCAGACAATCACCAGATACAGCGAAGGCCAAAAGACAGTGGAGCAATAGCCTTCAAATGCTGAAACAAAAAATCTGTTACCCAGAGTTCAGTATCCAGGGGGAATAAAAAAAAATCTTCAGGAACGAAGGCAGCATTTTCAGACAACAAAATCCAACATCATTTTTGTCAGTCACACACCTGAATTACAAAAAACTAAAGCGTTCCTCTGCCTGAAGAAAAATGACACCAGATAGAAACTTCAATTTTCAGGAGGGAAAACAGACATCCTACATGGCAAAAATACCGAGAAAACAAACGTGGGCCTCAGAACGCACCGGCAATGGAGAGGTTAGGGCCAGGTCGAGGTCCCAAGGGAGAAAGCACATCTCACCTGGGTCAGCCAGTTTTCTATAAAAAGTCACGGAGTAAATATTTGAGGCATGTGAGCCAGACAGTTTCTCTCACAACTCCAGTGCTGCCACTGTAGTACAAACACAGCCATTAACATGGGTGAATGAAAACGTACAGCACGTCGGTGAAACTTTGTTTATAGAAACAGGTGGTAGGCGGAATCTGACCCAGCCCATAGTTTGCCAACTCCTGGGTCTAACCAACAGGCAGCTGTGAAAGGGGCTGGACGTTTAGGAATCAAGCCCGTGTAGAGATTAAAAAAAAAAAAAATCAAAAGAAATAATGAATATGAAGGCCAGGCATGGTGGCTCAAGCCTGTAATTCCAACACTTTGGGAGGCTGAGGCAGGTGGTTCATTTGAGGTGAGGAACTTAAGACCAGCCTGACCAACATGATGAAACCCCATCTCTACTAAAAATACAAAAATTAGCCGGGAGTGGCGGCGCATGCCTGTAGTCCCAGTTACTTGGGAGGCTGAGGCAGGAGAATCACTTGAACTCCGCAGACAGAGGTTGCAATGAGCTGAGATCACACCACTGCACTCCAGCCTGGGCAACAGAGCAAGATTCCATACCCAAAAAAAAAAAATGAATATGAAACTGTTATATATATGTGCATATATATGTGTGTGTGTGTATACATATATATATACACACACACACGTATATGTATGTGTGTATATATATGGCATTTGGTAGACTGTAAAATGGTACTGAAATTTCACACATAGGACAAAAAGACGAAAGTAACAGTCTTAAAAATGGGAATGATGAAAATTTCAGAATATTCATAATAAAAAAGAAGAGAAATAGCTGAGAAGGAAAACTTTGTCCTGTACATTCCATTTCCCCGTGGAACTCTAACACCTCGTATACATGTAGCATAAATTTGACAAACTTGATCAAAATAATACCTAAGCCATACCAAATTCTGAGATAATATAAGGACTGAAGCCTTAAACATATGGCTTCAAGCCTATTACTTTACTGCCCTTTATTTCAGCTTTTTAATCAGTAACATGAAGATAATAATTCATGGGGCTAATATAATGCCCAACAGAGGTACTGAAAACTGTGTTTTTAAAATGTACTGTAATAATTTGTTAGACCACATTCTCTGCGGCCAGTGAGAAAAATGGAGACAAGCATTTACTTCCATTTTGAGCACAATATGAACCCTTACAAAGACTTCAAATTATTAGCAAATGACCTTCATTCGCCAAAAGAAAATCAAAGTGATTCCCAAGCTGTTCTTTCATGGTCATGTAAATAATGCAAATGATGAGTTAATGGGTGCAGCACACCAACATGGCACATGTATACATATGTAACAAACATGCACGTTGTGCACATGTACCCTAGAACACAAGGTATAATTAAAAATAAAAAATTAATAATAATGCCACTTTGTGCAAACCAAAAATGCTATAAAAGTAAAAACAATGGCCTGCAGATGGGCTGAAAATACAGTCTGAAGTTCTATGGAATATTCACTTACAGTTTCTAATAATATTCTGTTACTCTGGCATTCAGCTTTCCTTGCCATATCGATAGTCCAGTATAAAGTGCCTTGACAAAACCTCAAAGCCCAGCCAAAAAGTTAAGGGAACAAAGTATTTTCATCATGGTTGATAAACTGTCATGAACTGCAACAACTAGTGGCACAAAAGGAAGGCCACTCCCTCATCACGTTCAAAACCTAAAGACACAAGCTGAAGGGAAAACCAGAGAACAACCAAAACCCAAGGGAATAATGTACTGTGATCTTTTCTGGGGTTATATGACTAAAGATCCAAGATAATTTAAAAATAAAATGTGTCGACTTCATCAAATCCACAAGTAAAGAAACATCGCCTGGTAGACTACTAAAACCTAAAACTTTCCATGTGCACTACTGTTTTAAGTCACCTGGCAGGAAATTAACAAATATCCTTTAATGTCTGATGTAAACAAAGAACATAAAATAGTCACACAGAAAAAAACTGATGGCTGATTATTCAGAACATGCCTCCGTCCCTCCAAAGGAAAATTTCGGAAAAGGACAAAGCCTCAAAGCCCTAGTTCATCAACATAGCACGTTATATCAGGTTGGTGCAAACGTATTTGTGGTTTTTGCATTGTTGAAATTCCCCATCTGATATTGGAATACATTCTTAAATAAATGTAGTTATATATCATTTTAATGCATATTTCGCTTTATGGTTTTTTGCTAATGACTTATTACTTGCTGTTTATGTTTTAGACTATGGAAATGATGTTAGACAACAGACAAATTTGAGTGATTTTCTTATTCGAGTTCAAACCAAGTCATAAAGCAGGGGAGACAATTTCCAACATCAACAACGCATTTGGCCCAGGAACTGCTAATGAACACACAGTGCAGTGGTGGTTTGCAGAGGGGATGAGAGCCTTGAAGATGAGGAGCGGAGTGGCCAGCCCTCGGAAGTTGACGACAACCAACTGACAGCCATCACTGAAGCTGATGCTCTTACAACTACACGAGAAGCTGCTGAAGAAGTCAGCATCGGCCATTATACAGTTGATCAGCATTTGAAGCAATTTGAAAAGGTGAAAAAGCTCAGTAAGTGGGTCCCTCATGAGCTGAGCGAGAATCAAAAAAATCATCATTTTGAAATGTCACCTCTTATTCTACACAATGAACCATGTCTCAATCAGATTGTGACATACGCCAACAAGTGGGTCTTAGACGACAACCAGTGACAACAGCTCGGTGGTTGGGCTGAGAAGAAGCTCCAAAGCACTTCCCAAAGCCAAACTTGCACCAGAAAAAGGTCATGTCACTGTCTGGTGGTCTGCTGCCGGTCTGATCCACTAGAGCTTTCTGAATCTCCACAAAACCATTACATCCGAGAAGTGTGCTCAGCAAATCAATGAGATACACTGAAAACTGCAGCGCCTGCAGCCGGCACTGGTCAGCAGGAAGGGCCCAATTCTTCTCCACGACAACACGCGACCGCACGTCACACAACCAACGCTTCAAAAGTGGAAAAATTGGGCTGTGAAGTTTTGCCTCATCTGCCATATTCACCTGACCTCTCACCAACTGACCACCACTTCTTCAAGCATCTTGCCAATTTTTTGCATGGAAAATGCTTTGACAACCAGCAGAATGCAGAAAGTGCTTTCCAAGTTTGTCGAATCCCAAAGCACAGATTTTTACGCTACAGGGATAAAACTTATTTCTCACTGGCAAAAATGTGTTGACTGGAATGGTTCTTGATTAATAAAGATGTGTCTGAGCCTAGTCATGGTTTAAAATTCACAGTCCAAAACCACAATTACTTTTGCATCAACCTAACATGTTATTTCAAGAAGCACTGTGTCTGCTTCTGGAAGGCCAGAAACAGCAGGCAAGCTACAGGACGCTGCTGGAAAGACCCGGCCTTCAAGGGCCCCTGCGCAGCACCCAGGGCACACAAGGAGCTGAGTCACTTGTCCCCTCAGTGGTCCTGATGTCAAGCCATTCTCCTTTCTCTCCCAGAGGCTCTTCATCCCTACTCTTCCTCCACGGAACACCTTAAAAACCACCATTCTGGTCGAGTCTCTGAAGATTCCTGCTATACAAACTAGAGAGTCTAAAATACAGCTTTTACTATAAAAGCTGATTTGATTTAAAATAAGTTTGCATCTTTAGAAATGTGAATTATAAAATTATTTCACACTTAATCCTTTAAATACCAATTATACCAACCTGAGTTTTGCAAATTTTTAGCATCTTACTTACTTGGTGCATTCTTCTAAAGACTGTACGAGCATTTGCTGGAAAGAACATATTTCTTCTAGATTTCCCATTAAATATGAAATGTTTGCTGAACTTAACCTAGAGCCAAGAAAAATAACAGTAAACATATGTAAACAGTTTTACTTATATTCTTCTCCTTTGCCATCCCAATGTCCTATTGAAGTCTTAACCTAATAAACTGCTGATGTCTAAGGCAAACTGATACTCTAAATTCTGTTTTACTATTTAACCCTCTATTTTCTGAAAATACAAGAGAATAGCCTAAGGTTTAGACTATTTACAGTTAATGCAATTTATCATCTAACTTACTTCTCACTGGTCTGCAATGGCCGTAGGTAGGTTGAAAGCACAGTCTGAAGTTCTTTAGAATATTCATTTTCTGTTTCTAAAATATTCTGTAGCACCTATAATAAACGATGAATAAGTGTTATTTGACATTTCAATTGCTATTTGACTCTAAGATTTATATACTTTGGACAGTTCATCACCATTGTTCAATTCATACTATTACTTCTATGTAAGACTCAAGTATTGAGTATCACAGTATCTTTGTGATTATTGACTATTAAACCCATGTAATGAATTATTACTAAGGCCACACAACTGACTTTATCTTACTGCTAACCATATCTGACACAGGTATACGTAGGATGAAGGAAGAATTCCATCATCAGATGCCACGTCTGTTTAGATAAAAAGGAGAAGTCGCCAAGAATCACAACTGCACGGACACACAGATCAATCTCTACAACACTGTGTTGTGCAAAAGAAGCCATTCCCAAAAAGGACATCCTGCATCATTCCATTTATATTAAGTCTAAGAGATGGCAAAACTAATCTATGGTGACGGAAATCAGAGAAGAGGTAAAGGGTAGGATGCGGGGCGGGGACAACAGGGAAAGGAGAATGAGGTAAATTTCTAAGGTGATAAATAGGTTCTGTATTTTGATTTGGGTAGCGGTTACAACAGATATATACATTGTCAAAGCTCACTGGACTGTGCCTTTAAAATCTATGTATTTTAACATATGTAACATTACTCTCAACTAAAAAAAAAAACAGTTTAGTCTTTAGATTGCACCTAAAAGTTGAAACCAATTTCTGCGAACTACAGACTTTCCCTCGTGAATATGACCGTCTCAGACATGTTATTACCACATTGATTAAAAACTAAGGTTTATCCATGTAAACAATCTTTACTACTTCAAAGATAGCAAAATAATTATAAATTAACCTTAAAATTAAAATGTTCCCAATACCCTGCATTAGTGTAGCAAATTTAGCCAAAATAATTTAAGTCTTAAAAACTGACAGACAAATATAAAGTGCAAAACTGGCAAAACCGAGCGGGAATGCTTTCCACCAGCGATCACTGCAGCAAAGGCCCAGCCCAGGGCGGGGCGAGAAGGCACCTGGATGTGAACTGCAGGTGCTCCTCGCACTCCTGGCACTGAGCAAGGTGCTGTGCACACACAACCTTTCCTCTTAGAGAAGCTGACTTCTCCCAACTCAAACAGCTGGGAAAAGCAGAGCCAGACAGCGGCCCCAGGTCCTCCTGCCACTGCGCCGCACCACACTGTCTTCTTTGGCATGAGACTGATGACCGCACTGAGGATACTGAAGGACCAGACATAAGTGAAGAAAGCGGAATCCTTGCCTCCATTCTTTTCCACCCAACTCTGTCACAGAGCTAGTGCTTTTTAAATCAGAAAATCACATTACATGTATTTTCTGCACATCTAGTACATGCATTAAGATGTGCTATTTGTCTCCCAGAGCTAACAATACATTCTCAATTACTTATACAAAAGAAATCGTACAGAAGTAATCAAGATATTAAACATGCTCAGTTTGTCCCCATAATTTTTGACAATCCAAATGTAAATTTAAACATTTAAGAAAAAAGTCAAGTTAAATTTAAATTTCAGCTTTAGTAAAGACAAACCGGGTCATTATTCTGTTTGCTACTGTTGACTATAAACTCTGAGAAAGAGTACAGTCATTCCTGAGTAAATGCAAATCTGATTAAATCACTTACTAAACTACTTGGGCAAAAAAAATAGAGGCTCTTCCACTGGTGACAAGGAGCTCCGGCTCATCCCTGAAGGGATCTATTCATGGGAGACGACCGTGGGAGAGCCAGAGCGAGGGGCCCTGCAGGGGGCTGGCTCTTCGGGGGAAATGCTGACCCCACAACCACAATGTCTTCCTTCTATGAAATTCCCATTGAACACAAATGTCACAGGTCTGGTGAGCAGAGGCAAACCGTGATGCCAGCCACCCTACCCCAGAGACACTACTCTAAACCAGGCCTGTCCTCCAAAGCAACGGGAGAAGCCAGTCAAGCATAATGCGATGTCGAGCTAAGTAAGATAAAGTAAGATCTGTCGCAGACGTACCAGAAAAGGCCTTTTCAGTGTTAAAGATAGGAAATATGATTTAGCTTAATTACAAATATTGGATACCAACTTACCAATACTGCTCATTGCACACCTAAAGACCTATATACTTATTTTCAAAGAGAAAAATGTTCCTATGTGAGATAAGAAAGCAGCCACTAGAAACTATCACTAGCACGAATAAGAGAAGAATAAAATACAGTGACCTTTTGTCCGTCACAGCACTAAGCACTAGTTGTAGAAATGAAAGCTTCCCATAAGCACCAAAAAGGACTCCAAAGAGCCTCTGCCAAAAGGCTACATTCGTTAACATAGTTAAGTTGGTTAATTCAACAAATAGTCTTAAACACTACTTTCAAATAGGGTGCTAAACACAACTCCTGTATTACTCCCAACCAAACAATGCAAGTTACACTTAACTTTTCCTCAAACACATAGCCAGGCCTGGCTCCCGGGCTCCAGCTGGGGTGCCCACTCCCTCTGCCAGGAGGTTGTTGGCCTTCCTGACCTCAGGGCGCAGCCCTGGGAGCCACTTACCACCTTTCTTCCCCTCCTTGTCTTCTGCATGCTCTGGCTGCTGCAGGACCCCATGAGACCTCACAGCCTGGCAGCCACAGCTCCATCCCCCCAACGCTGGGAACCCAGAGGACGCACGCAGTTTTCAGAGAAAAGGCAGCTTTGACAACCCACAGCGCTGAAGAAAGGCCCAGAGAGCTGAGCTCAGCCAGTGCCAGCTTCCCAGGGGTCACGAGGCGTGGAGAGGCAAGTGCAGTCAAACACTGGTGCCACTCAATCCCTACACTGCCCGCCTTCGAGCACAGCAAAACAAAGAGGACTCGCTGCCGCGCCTCACAGACACAGACACTTCATTCACTGCATCATTAAAGGAGTACTTAGTATTCCTGATTTTACAAATGGGTTACAACTTTCACTGCCAATCTTGGTAGGTGTTTTATGTTTATGTCATCATAGCCTTTAAAAACAAATAACTGATCTACATAAGAGAACAAAGAACACTAATTTTTTTGTTTCATCTGGATAAAAAGTTTTTATCATCATAAAACCAAATTTCCATAACCCAATCCTAATGTGTAAGTCCAAGAAGAAAAACTAAAAAGTGGCACAATTATTCAAAATCTACTTACACCCTACCTAATCAGCCCCTCCCTGTCCACTGCTGCAAAGAAACAAGATCATCCTTTAATGTTCTCCATTCCAGTCTGTTTACACTTCAAGTACATTTTCAAAAAGTCAATTACAAGACAGTAGTTCACCACACAATGTAGCCTCTAATAAACATCTGACCACAGGGCAAGGAAAAGGAAGGAAGGAGTGTTGACAAGAAATCCCTGAAGCTCCTGCTGGCTCATCTACAGGTCACAATGACATCAGGCAGTCAGTGGCTCCCCAAACACACAGTTACTGATTTAATGTAGTGTGTTAGCACTGGTGGTCCTTACTAATACCTAGAAACATCAGCTCTCAAAAAAAGTTTGGAGGGACCACATAAATGCTTTTCTTTTATGATACTGTATCTTTTGAAAGAAAAGTTATTCTATTACTTTTAAATTTGGAGATTCACAGGTCTTGGGGCGCGTTTCTCCCAAATGGTAAAGGTTTATAGGCAATGGCTCCTGCAAAGTCTCCAGCCCCAGGGGGAAGCAGACACTGCCAACGGCACCTGCATAGCAGCATGGCGACAGGTAAAGAGCTGGCCTCTGCAGACAGGTGGACCTGGGCTCACAGCTGCGCTCTGCCACTGACTGCCTGCAGCTGGACAAGTCTATCAGTCTGTTTCCCTTCTTCACAAAAAGGGATTTCACAGGGTTGTGATGGTTACTGAAGAGTGCCAGTCCTTGGCTTATAGCAGGAAGGCATCTAGTCGGTCACCCTTCGACCTTCTAGCCCAATGTGGAGTCTTACTTGGAGCTGCTGCTTAAATGACTCCTTCAGTCAGGAGGTAATTACTTCACAAGACAGCCTTTCTTGCAATTAAGCCACTTGATTCTCCCAAACACTGAGCTCCTCTCTGTGTCAGCCTTCCACTACTGCCTACCTGACAACCTTCATCTGTATCATCTGAGTCCAGACACAGCAAGGAAATCCCATGAAAAACAATGGGAGCCAAGTGTGCAAGAAGCCAGCAAGCATCTCGTCACCCAGGAAAGGAGGGGATCCCACAAGCTGCACACCCTCCCTGATACCTCAGGGCCCCTCCTCATTAACCATCTCCACCTACAGGCCCCAAGCAGAGATTCAGGGGTCAAAAGATTTGAAAGAAACCTTCATCAAGGTGGAGAAAAGCCAAGGGGAACACAGAAGATGAAGAGATGAAGCAATGCCAGGGTTTAGGGTCAGCGCTGATGGATGGAGACAGAGGACACCGTCACCAGGAGTCTCAGGTGTTCCAGGGTTTAGGGTCAGCGCCAATGGATGGAGACAGAGGACACCGTCACCAGGAGTCTCAGGTGTTCCAGGGTTTAGGGTCAGCGCCGATTGATGGAGACACAGGACACCGTCACCAGGAGTCTCAGGTGTTCCAGGGTTTAGGGTCAGCGCCGATGGATGGAGACAGAGGACACCCTGTCACCAGGAGTCTCAGGTGTTCCAGGGTTTAGGGTCAGTGCCGATGGATGGAGACAGAGGACACCGTCACCAGGAGTCTCAGGTGTTCCAGGGTTTAGGGTCAGCGCCGATGGATGGAGACAGAGGACACCGTCACCAGGAGTCTCAGGTGTTCCTGGGTTTAGGGTCAGTGCTGATGGATGGAGACAGAGGACACCCTGTCACCAGGAGTCTCAGGTGTTCCTGGGTTTAGGGTCAGCGCCGATGGATGGAGACAGAGGACACCCTGTCACCAGGAGTCTCAGGTTTTCCTCCTTGGCCTGGCATCTCAAGGCCATCGGAAACTAAAGGAGCAGGGAGGAAAAGACAGGCGTGGGGCTTCTCTGGAGCACAGGAAAGGCCCGAGGACATGTGTGATGGCATCTAAGGATATATAACCG